GGCGGCCTTCATCACCCCCACACTATGACAGCCAGTCACTCTGGTCTGGGCAGCCTTCATCACCCCCCACACCATGACAGCCAGTCACTTTGGTCTGGGCGGCCTTCATCACCCGTTAGCCCGTATGATCATTTGTCCTCTGGAGTCACGAAGGGCCTGGGGTGACCACCCCACTTCTTAGGGCTTTCAGAAATTGTTTATCTTTTCTGTTCTCTTAGGGTATACTTTGTTCCCCTGGTTCTGCACATTTCATTCTTCATCAGTTTGTAAAAGTCTTCAAGGTGATTCTTTTTTGTCACACTGACACAGTGTAAATTGTTTTTCTGTTCATACCATCTTTCTTACACCACAGCACTTCTCCAGCGTCTTCATTCACCGCACTATTAAGCCATTCTCAATTGATGGGCATACCTTTAGTTTCCAGAGTGGTGGGGTCTTTTTTGCCGTTATAAACAAAATTGAATAAGTATTTTTATACATAAAAGACCTTTTTCTGTTTCTTTGATCATTTTGGGGTTTGACCCCAGGTTAAAGGGCATGCCCTGTTGAGTAACTTTTTGGGTATGATTGCAAATTGTTTTCTGGAATGGATGTACCTGTCCATGTATCCACATCATTATACGGGTTTCCTACAGCCTTTCCAATATTTATTGTTTTCCTTCTTTGCATCTTTGTCCATGTGATCTGTGGGAGATGGGATTTCAGCATTGCTTTAATTTGCATTTCTCTAATTATTTGTGATTTGTTTGTTTATTTTTTTGCTTTAGGCAATTGGGGTTAAGTGACTTGCCCAGGGTCACACAGCTAGTATGTGTCAAGCATTTTGTTCTGAGGCCTGAGTCAAACTCAGGTCCTCCTGACTTCAGGGCTGCTGCTCTATCCACTGCGTCACCTAGCTGCCCCTTAATTATTTGTGATTTGGAGCAGTATTTTCATATGCTATGATTAGCTTGGGTTTCTTTCCTTGAGCACTGCCAATTCAGATTCTTACACCATTTATCAGTGAGGAGTAGCCTTATTCTTTGACATTTGAGGGAGTTCCTTATATGCCATGGACATCACTCTGCACTGAAATCCCCATGCCTTTTCACACTGTTGTCTGGTTATGGTTCTCCTGTCTTCTACCTGCAGAGTTAATTTTTGGGACCCAAACATACGACTTTTATTGCTAGATTTACCCCTGTGCTCTAGCTTGGCAAGATCCTTTTGAAAATTATCTGTCTTGTTGTTAGCTGTCCCTCACTTGGGTCATCTGCAGATTTGGTGAACGTGCTGGGCCCAGCCTGCTCCATTGACTCTGAAGTCATTAACTTTTTGAGTCTGTTTACTATCTCTTATGTCATCCGCATATTTGATGAGCATGCCCTGTAGGCCTTCATCCAAGTCATTGATAAAATGTTACACAGCCAAGATCCCTGGTGGCACTCTGAGGAAGGTGCCTACTAATCACAAATGTTAGTCTGCTCATTCAAACCATTTCAGGTCTATCTTGTTCTGTTTTCACCTAGCCCATGCTAAGCTCCAATCTCTCTGTCTTTTGCACAAGAAATAGTAGGCCCTGCTTTAGCAAATGCTTCCCTAAGATTTGGGTAAACTCAACCTATACCATTTTCTGACCCTGAGTGCTCTCAGTTGAGTCTTTGGAGAAAGGCAGCTGAGCCTTGTGCGGGATGGAGATCTGAGGAAACAGCGACATTCTTGCCTTGGAATGTGTAAGGGCCTGAAGATAAGGGTGGAATGATGGCTTAGGAAATAGCTAATAGGCCCCCCTCCACTGCAGGAAAGTCAGATAAAGGAAAGTGGTCTGGGAATTGGAGCCAGAATGTGGTGGGAGCAATTAAGTCCTACCTGAGGACTTTACATTTTATCTTGGAGTAACAGATAACCATTGCTGACTTTTGGACCCAGGAGTTACATGGTTAGTTAGACCTTTGCCTGCTAGAAGATTCCTTTGGCAGTTGTGTGGAGATGGGTCTCGAACCAGGGAGACCAGTGGGGTGGCTATCACAGTGTGGGGGTGATGAAGGCTGCCCAGACTAGAGTGACCGGGTAGCATGGTGTGGGGGTGATGAAGGCCATTCAGAGCAGAGTGACTGGCTATAATGGTGTGGGGGTGATGAAGGCTGCTTAGACCAGAGTGACTGGCTACCACAGTGTGGGGGTGATGAAGGCTGCCCAGCCTAGAATGACTGGCTGTCACAGTGTAGAGGTGATGAAGGCCGCCCAGACTAGAGTGACCGACTCTCATAGTGAGGGGGTGATGAAGGCCTCCCAGACGAGAGTGACCATGTATAACTGGAAGAGAGAGGACATGTGTATGGAATTGGAAAGCAGACCTCACAAGACTTGCCAGTGAATGTGAAGGGTGAAGGAGGAAAACAGAGGCCTAGACAGTTCCAGGCTGTGAAGGATCCTGGGTGATGAGGAGGATGGCCGGGCCGTGACAGAAAGAGGAAAGCTTGGGGGAGAGGGGGAAGAGTCGGGAATGCATTGAATTTGAGATGGCAAAGGGATTAATTGGCTTCACTGGCCTGTTGAGGAAATGCTTCAAATCCATCACTTCCCTGTGCTGATGCTGGGGAAACAGTGATTGCTGAATTTGCTGTTCTGTGTATATTCTGGGACAAAATTCAGAAATGTTTCAGCCTCACTGTGGCAGAAGGTCTGGTAGAAACAATTACGCGCCCAGCCTCCTTGTCTCCCAGGTGACAATGCCGGTGGCCCCTGTGCAGCTAATCAGAGATCGGGCTGAGATCTTGCCTGTTAGCTCACTGTTAGCTCATTTCATCATCCGAGTCTCTTTGCAGCCACACTTTTTAGGGCTGTCACTTTCCCTTCTGGCATCCAGTGTGCTTCTTGTGAGCAGAATGCATTGGTTCCTTTAAAATTATTTTGTGCATTTCGGAATAGTGGATCTATTAAATCACTTTGTTCATTTGTTTCTGATTCTTCGTGACCCCACTTGGGGTTTTCTTGGTGAAGATCCTGGAGTGGTTTGCCATTTCCTTCTCCAGCTTGTTTAACACATGAGGAAACTGAGGCAAACATGGTTAAGTGACTTGCCCAGGGTCACACAGCTAGTAAGTGTCAGAGGCTGGATTTGAACTCAGGCCTTCCTGACACCAGGCCCAGCACTCTTTCCACTGGGCCACCTGGCTGCCCTATTAAATCAGTAAGATTGTATTAAAAAAAAGGCCTGATGACCTACTCTTAGCTTACAGTTACTTGGTGTGGATTCCTGGTCTTCAGTTTTCTTATTTGTAAAATGGAGATGAAAGTATTAATTTATCTGGGAAGCCTTGGCATCCGCATAACTATTATTTTCAAGTGCTTTGCAGTCCATTCAGTACTGTGTAAGTAATCCTAATGGAGGGTAAAGATAATGAGGTAAGGAAATTAATTCTTTTGTACTCTTCAAAGACAATGCAGTTTGCAGGGCAAATGCTTTAGCCAGCATTAAAAGCAAAGTTATCAATTGGAATATAAAATAATCAGAATAGAAGCTTTTTGTTCAAACAGAACTTGTAAACAGTCACCTGACTTTGAGTTGGAACTGTAGGATTAACTGGCTCATCTTGACTGGTGTGTGCAGCGGATGGAGTGCCGAGTTCAGATCCAGCTTCAGACACTTCCTAGCTGTGTGACCCTGGGCAAGTCACTTAACCCTGTTTGCCTCAGTTTCCTCGTATATAAGATGACCTGGAGAAGGAAATGGCAAACCCCTCCAGGATCTTTGCCAAGAAAATCCCAAATCCCAGACAGAGGGTTGGACACCACTAAACAACAACAGCTCGGTCATAGTGTCATTAAAAGCCCCGGAATTATTAAGGAAAATTTGAGACCTTGAAAATGTATTTTAAAAGTAATGTGTTACTTACCAAGATTCCTATGCCCAAAGTTTAGAAGGACTTCAGCGCACGCACGTGTACTTTTCTCCCTTGACAGAAGCCAGAGAGGTGCGTGGAGCTCCAGTTACTTGTCACTCACTGCATCCCACCTTCCCTGGCATTTACCCTTTTCTCCTTCAGCATGATAGTCGGGGTACCAGAAGTGCAGCGTCTTGGACTCGATGGGGACTTTCCTTGGCCACAGCACTGCCTCCTTTACCGTTCATACTCTGTCTCATATAGCATTGTTTTACATGAGGTGTCCTTCCAAAAATTCACATAATTTGTTCCTTTGTAACCTTTCCCCTACTGTCTTGCCTTTTTTCATATCAGACACCTTCACTGAGTAGCTAGCTTTTTCTTTTTAATGACTATAGAAATACTCTAATCTCTACTCATAAGATTCTCTACATAATCAACAATTGTATTCTTACCCATGCTTTTCAGTAATCTATGCCTGATTTTATGCTAATCTGGGAAAAAGTAAATAGTGATTTCTGTAAACTGAGCTTCTTATGTGAGTGATCTGCGATTGCTGTTGGCAGAATCACTCCCTTCATTGATGGAGATCCCTGCTTATCTGGGACTCCATGATTGAGGAAGAGGCTCTTTGTGAATGTCTGTGGTCACCCAAGGGCACCCTGTGAATGATGGGGAATTGTAATTCCTAGGCAAGCATCTTCTTCCTGTGGGTGCTTCATCTGTTCGGACAGATGCAGCGCCTGGCATGGAGAAGGCACCGAAATGCTTATGGGAATCCCGCTATCCTGCTGCTCGTGTTCATGAGCTGATTACTGCCTGTTGGAGCCCACTGCCTGCATACTCCAGTCGGCTCGGAGCCAGGCACCTGCCGTTGGGTAGGCCCAGTGCACAGGGGTCCTTGGGCCACTCACACCTGGGCCTTTGCTGCAAAGTGTCCCCAGTGTTTTGCTCCAGGTGTCTTTCTTGAGAAAGTGCTCTTTTATACCTCTTTTCTTATTGGTGATAAAAATAACAATAAATGATTTCGTAAATATTCAAAAATATTCAAAAAGTATTCAAACCCAAGCTGTTTCTTTGCAGAAAAAGTGCCTTCTAGACTCTTCCTCTTAATATCTGACTTTTTTCTTTTAGGTTTTATGGCAGTTGGACGTATTCCGTCGGAGTTTACGCGTTCTGTCTGGACATGTTTGTCAGGGAGAAGCCTGCATATTTTGTGCTTTAAAGGTAAACTCAATAATGCTTAGGAAAGTGGGGCTTAAGTGGTCATTGCTCTGTTTTTGGAGGAAATTACGGGTTTGGATAGGGTTCTTAATGTCTTTTCAGCTGTTTATCTTTGTTTAAGTGTTTGGGATGTGCTTTATTCAGTTTTTGAAGGGATATGCTCAGTCAAAGATGATAAAATAACAGAAATTGATACATATTCAGAAGGATTTGAAGTAATTTTGAAGCATCAACTTACTAATTTTCATTTAAAAACCTATGATGTTAAAATTCTAGCCGATTTGGAAAAGTTCCAGACTAGAACTCCTAGAGGTGGAAGTTACATTCAGCTTTCTTTTGATGAACAGCCAGAAAACTTGTGTCCTGTGTTATTTTTGTGTCCCCTGGCCCCTGTTGAAGTTTCCAGATGCATTTCTAGCTTGAGAATTGATTTGAAGCCATTTGCAGTTCTCAGCTTGTGGCCTCCTCAGTCAGCTCAAAGTGCTCTCTGCTGACTTACCAGTGATTTCTCAATTGCCAAATCGAATGGCCTCTTCTCCAGCCTGATACTTCTGGACCCTACTGGTCCGTAAGACGGGCTGCCTGTCCTCTTTAGGCTTTGGTGACGCTGTTCTGTCATGCTTCTCCGGTGTGATCACTGCTCATGGGTGTTCTCCAGGCTTTGTCCTGGGCCTTCTCTCTCTTCTCTGGACGTACTGTCTCCCTTGTGATCCCATCAGCTCCCTGGAGCTCAGTCTTTATTTCTGTACAAATGATTCCCAAATCTACTTGTTCAGCCCCTACAGGCCCTTGTGTTCAATTCAGCAAGCATTTCTTAAACACCCGCTGTGTGCCAGGCGCTGTCCTAAGCCCTGGGTGTACAGAGACAGTCTCTGCCCTCAAGAGGTTCGCAGACTAATAGAGGTATGCTCACCAGTTGCCATTTGGACAGCATACTGTAGACACCTCAGACTTAGCTTTGCCAGAGTGTGTCATCTTTCCCCACAAACCCTCCTTTCTTCCAAACTTCCCTATTGCTGTCGAGGCCACCGCCATCTTCCCGGTCCATCCGGACCTCCCCCTTAGGGTCATCCTTGATTCCTCATTCTTGTACCCCACAGATCCAATCTGTTGCCAAGTCCTGTCCTTTCTGCCTTCACATTATCTCTCAGAAGCATCCCCTTCCCTCTTCTGATACTGCCTCCAGCTGGTGCAGGACCTCATCACCTCATCCCTGGACTGTGGCAATAGCTGCCTTGGGGGGTTTGCCTGCCTCAAACCTTTCCCTTCCCGGGACCCTCCTCCATTCAGCTGCCCCAGTGGCCTTCCTAACATGCCCGTCTCCCCATGTCATCCCCGTTGTTACCTCCAGATCCTTCTGTTTGGCTCTCAGAGCCCTTCGTGGCCTGGTCTCCTCCTGCCTTTCCAGATGTCTGTACTTTACTCCCAACATTGGCCTCTTTGCTCTTGTTCTGTGTGTTTTCACGGGTGCCCCTCGTGCCTGGAAGGCTCTGTGCACTCACCTCTGCCTCGGAGCCTCCTTGTCTTCCTGAAATCCTAACTGCTTCCTGCAGGAGCTCTTTTGTGATCCTCCGTCCCCCTCATGGTCCCTTCACTGTAGATCTTGTAAGTCTCCTTTGTTCCTTGTTTTCTCCCCTGGTAGAATGTGAGCACTTTAGGGCTAGCTCCATGTTTTTGGATTTCTGTATCCCCAGCACGTAGCATGGTGCCTGGCACTTAGTAGGTGCTTCACAAATAAATGCTTCTGGACTGGCATTCAGGTGGGGATCATTTAATGTTGTTTCTGCTAGAATGTGACTAAATCAATTCATGGTTGTTAATTATGAAGAATGTAGATAAAATATAGATACATATCCACTAAATTCTGAATATTTGAGTCAGTTAAAATTGTAGAAACGAATTTAATCTTTAAGTTCTGATGAAAGTCTTAAAAAAAAGTTACCATTTTGGAACTGCTTCTGGAAGCTCTTTTTGAAAAGTCAAATACTCAAATAAGCAAGTATGTTTTAAAATAGTTTGGTTTAGTGAACAGCAAGTAAATTAGTCACAAAGTTATAATAACAGCAACAACCAGCACCACTTCAGTCCTTGAAGGCTCGGTGATTCTGCAGAGCCCTGCCCCCTCCCCTCTGCCCGTGGCTGGTGACCCAGGAGCTGGTCTTACAGAGTTGCTGGGAACACCTGCCAGGGCTGGGGCTTCTCTGGCACATGGAGGATTTGGGGAATAGGTCTACAAAGCTCTTTCCCTTACCAGTTGATCACACTTATTTTTGAATTACTTCTTTGGAGAAGAAAATTTCCTAAATAGTATCTTGTCCAGTCAAAATGCCAACCTTTGATGAAATTCAGCTTTCTCAACAGACTGTCCTCGATGCTGTTTTTTTTCTCAAGGTAAAATAAGTCCTCGCTCTCAGGAAGTTTATCTCCTAATAGAGTCAAGTCAAACTAACAAGCATTTATCAAACACTTATTGTGTATCAGGCACCATGCCAGTAAAGGAGACCAGATATACACCCGTTGCTATAATGCACATCAGAATGTGATGGAGCAATTAAAGGGGCAGGCGTCTTTCTCAGCTGCAGGCGAAGCAACATAGGCAGTGGGCTTTGAGACCCTCTAAACACCTTGAAGGCAGGAAACACTTTTGATTTATCTTCTTTGTGTCACACGTAATGATCACTTCAGGTTGGAATGAATGGGCAAGGTTGGGGAAGATGCCTTTCTAGGCGTGGAGAATGGGATGGGAAAGGGTAAGGGAAGGAGAGTGGGAAGGACAGGACTGGGAGCTGCTAGGCCATTTGGACTGATGAGTGTGTGAACTGGAGAAGTGAGAAGTAAGATGGGAGAGGTGAGCTGGAGTCAGATTGTGGAGGGCCAAGGAGGTCACAGTCTGTTTTGGAGGAATTGGGCAGTCATCATGTTTTTGTACAGGGGACAGATGGTACTAGAATAATGGTGGGATATGAGGAATCTCTGCCCACTCTTGGGAGGGAAGAAGGGTTATGAGGCCAGGTACAAGGTGACCAGGGCTTAAACTGGGGGAGTGGCTGTGAAATGGGGAAGGATGAGGGGCCCCTGTGATATGGCAAAAGTCGAGTTACTAGGACTTGACGGATGAGGAGAAGGTGGAGAAGGGGGAGTGAGAGAGGGGGAGAGCTGGGGCTGGGAAGGTAGGAAGTCTGGTTTGAAACGTGTGAGTTTGAGATGCCGATGCAATTAGGTCAGAGACTCAGCAGGCACTTGGAAGAAAGCTCTGAAGAAAGGGGACAGAGTGGGGTCCTCTCCTTGCAGGTGATCACTGGAGCCTTGGGAGGGGAGGAGAGAGAGAGAAGAAAGCCCAGCATAGAACTTGGGATGGGGCGAGGAAAAGGAGCCAGGGAGGGAGTCTCCAGAGAGGAGTGGGCGTATGTGCGGCACTGTGGGCAGGGCAGGGAGGCCAAAGGGTGAGCGGAGGCCTTTGGGCTTAGTGACCGGGGGAGGTCAGCTTTAAAAGAGGGCTGAGGGGGACAGGCACATCACAAGAATCTGAGGAGTCAAGGAAGTAGAAAGCAGATGGAGGCAAGCCTTGGCATTTCTGGGGGCTTGCCAGTGAAGGGGAAGAACAGAGAAGAAGAGCTTAAGGTTTTGGTTGTGTGTGTGTGTGTTTTTTTTTTTTAGGGAAAACCTGACTGCTTGTGGTGAGCTGCTGCTTCCAAGAGAAGGAGCCTGGGGGGAGAGGAGGGAGAGAGAGGCAGACAGAGACAGAGAGAGGAGAATTGATTGGGGATGTAGGAGAGATTGCCTGAATGATGGAGTTCCAAGATGAAGGTCGAGGAGGAGATACGGGGTAGCCCATGGTCCTCTGACGGGAGTGGGTGGGGGGATGTAGATTTCGAGGTGCAGAGGCACGGAATTGAGGGAGACGAGGAGGGCAAGGAGCTGTGATCTCAGAAAAGTAGAAATGGGGAGTGTGTCTAAGAGAGTGGGAGAGGGGAATGAGGCTCGGCTGGGCCCTGGCCCTGGACAGTGTTGCATTTCCTTTATGACATGAAACTTGAAAATGATTTTCTGTGATTTGTGTCTAGTAGATGTTGGAAACTTTGTAGTCTTCCATCAGGATTTCTCCACAACCCTAAAAATTGTCATGACTCCTCTGTTAATGGGCACGCACCTAAAACCGAAGGATTTAGTCAGGTTAGGTTAGTCGGGTGAGAACTTAGAAAACTTGTTTTCAAGCATCCCATCCAGTCATCTTATCTTCTGAACATTAAGACTTTGTTCATCTGTAGCCTTTTAGCTTGCAGTGCTGCCATCCCAACTTAGCTCCAGGCCTCTTCTGATAGGAGGTGTGCACAAAGTCAGCCTCAGGAGCCCAGCTCTTGGGTGTGTTTTTTCACTCCTTTTGCCGCAAGAGAAGTTCCCTCGCCTCCACGTCCTCCCCCCTCATTGCCTCTGATTTCCCATGAGCGTCTGCAGCTTCAGGCCACAGTCTGGGAGCACACTTTGTCTGTAAACTGTTATAGAAGTTAATGCCAACTTGGAAAAATACAGCTTTGAAGTTTCAATTCCTATGTTATTGTGCCAGAAATTTCAACTTTATTGTGTTAATATTTTTTCCCAAAATAAGAATTGTATATAAGTTATTACTCTAATTCACTTGTGAAGTAATAGATTTTGGAGAATTTTGTTTAAAAAAAGACAGGTATTTCTTGAAAGTTTTTTTTAATTTGGCTTTAGCAAGCTGGTCTGTGTTCATTTGTTTGTATGTGCTGGTTTTATGTTATTGTATCCCCCCACAGTGAATTCTGTCATCTTACTCAGATGGCTGTGCAGAAAAGTATCTTCGAACTTGTTATGTAAACAGTTCTAAGTTATAATATTATGCAGTGTTGTTCATAAAGAATTTCAGAATGAGTTTCCAATTTGGGATGGCTTTCTGGACGAGTTTTAGATTTCATTGGCTCCTGGGCCACATTTGAAATGAAGAGAGGGTTATTAAAGTCATCTTCCATTCTTCTTCCTGGGGACCAGACGATATTTGCACAGTTTCAGCACAGTCGAGAGAAAGCACTTCCCTCCGATAATATCAGGCACGCCCTGGCAGAGAGCTTCAGAGATGAGCAGCGGTTTCAGCTTGGCTTTATGGATGACGCTGCCGAGTGCTTTGTGAGTATTCTTCAAAGATTCCTGGCATAGGGGAGCTTGTGCATCTGTGCGGGTGCATGTGTGCATGCATGTGTGTGTGTGTGCATGTACATGCAGACGGACTCTGAAGTGGTCACTTTCCCAGAGTTTTTGAGGCAGCTACAAAAAAGAGATTTCTAACCCCACTAGACTAATGGAAGAATACCAGACCTGGCCGGTGGCTTTGTGGTGTCCTGGGCTCAGTGGAATGTGTGTGTAGAATCACTTCTTAGAAGCTGAGGGCTTGGACAGAATAGAACCTTTAAGGCCCAGTCTGGGTTCTGAAGTGCCTTGTTCAGTCGCCCTGACAGCACATAGAACCATCAGTGGCTGTACTGGGTAAATGGAACCATTTTCTTTAACATGGAAAATATGTTTAACAAGATTTTTAAAATAAACGTTCTTTTCAAAGACTTTCTTCAAGTAAGCATTTTAATTTTGCTTGTTAAATATATTAGTAACTTGAGAAACAGTAGATAGAGAGTGCCAAAGTCCTGGATCCCCAGTGAGGCCTAACCACATTAAAATGTAATTGGGAAATGTTTACCAAAATAAAAAAAAATGCATTACAAGATACATAATGTTAATTTGTGGTTTTCTAAGTCTGTACGTGGCCTGCAGGGATAATGACACCACCCTAGTCACCTCTCTGCCTTGGTAAAGGACCAGATTTTTAAAAAAATGTGACTGAGCCTCAAAATTTTCCTTCCTTTTCATGGAATCTGTTACTGCATCTTATTAGTTCCTCCTTCTTCTTGTCTCCTTATTCCATCTCTTCCTTTCCACTTCTGCACCTGTTACTTCAGGTCAGCCCCCCATCCCTGGATTTTTGCAGAAGTTTTCTAACTGGTCTCTTTGTCCTCAGTTTCTCCTTTCTATCTTGAGTACTGATATCAGATTACTCTTCCTAAAATAATCATTTTATTGTCACTGACCTACTAAAAAGCAGTAGCTCCCCATTGCCTACAGAGTAAGGTCTGAATTTAGCCGGGCGTCTAAGCACTTCCATGACTCGAGCCCAGTGTGATTTTCCTGACATAACCCTCCCTGCTCCCGCCAGTCTCCGGTTAGTAAACAGTGCAGTACTTTCGGTATTGCTACCTTTGCGCTTTTGTGGATCTTGCTTCCTGCTTCCTGAGATGCCCTCCTCCCTTTTCACCTGTCCAGAGTCCGTCCATCCCTCCCTAAGAAGTAAACAAGCCCAGCTCCCAGATCTGCTCTCTACCTTGATGGGCCCAGAACACATTTCACTCGGTTTGGCATTCTGAATGTGAACACCAGATACGATGTGCTCTGCAGTCCAGGTTATGCACCTAAGGAATGCTTCACTGATGTGTTCCTGAAAAGCTGTTGTTGTTGTTTTTCAAATCGAATGATTTAAATGCACTAGGAAAGGATTGGAGTAGAAAATAAGTTTCCTATCTTTAAACATGTGGTATTGTAAATCAAAGGATCTCTTTGTAAAGGAAATTGCCTCTCCCCATTTACCTGCTAAAATTCTTAATTTTCACATAGCAGAATTACTCAAAGTGAGAGCACCCATATTGAAGTATTAATGCAAATATCACTCTGAGACTTGACTCTTATTCCCAGCGGCCTGTAGGGTTTGCCCATGAAATGATTTTTCAGTTTGATCATCTAGTTTTTTTTCAGTATTTGAATGTTAGGGAAATAGGAAGCCACATTTTAATTTACAGTCTGGAGATCTGGTACCTGTCATTTATGGCCATGTAAGCAGATTGCCAAAACTGTCTTTTGACTATTTTTTAAAAGCTGTTCCACTTTCGCTTCACCTAGTTGGAGTCCTCATTCTCATTTATGCACTGCCCCCTTCATTTCTCTCTCCTCCACCCACACTGTCTAGTTCTTCCTTATGTGTTCTCCTCCTACCCTTAGAATATACCCTGGGGGCCCGGACTGCCCTGCTTGCTTGGATCTGTGGTCCCAGAACTTAGCAGTGCCTGGCACATCAGCAGCGCTTCATAAATGCTTTTTCATTCAGCCATTATTTGCAGATTTTAAAAAAGTAAATGACTGGGCAGAATTTGCAAGTGAGTTTTCTGAAGTATCTGTTTCATTCGATGCTGTGGATGACATTTCATTACATTGCTCTTAAGTAAATTCTTGACTAATAAGAGTTTTATTTTGCAAAGAAAAACTAAATTCTCTTAAGCTTAGTAACTGGTTTGATCAGATTTTCTCTCTTGTCTTTCTTTTTGCTTATGACCAAATTAGGAAAATATCCTTGAAAAGATTCATTTTCATATTGTGCCAAATAGTGATTCAGACATGTGCACCTCAAAATCCTGCATTCCTCATCGGAAGTTTGCCATGACTCTCTATGAGCAGGTAGGGTTGCTTTTGGGTATTTGGCGTTATGACATTTCCTCCTTCAAACTTCCACAGACTAAAAAGCTGCCTAACTTTTTGTCTGTAGTGTGTGTGCCGGACCTGTGGAGCGTCCTCAGATCCCCTGCCCTTTACAGAGTTTGTCCGTTATATTTCTACAACAGCCCTTTGGTAAGAAGCCGCTTGCTATCTCTCTTTCTCTCTCTCTAGTTGTTGACACAGGCATCAGTGTTCTGTTATGGCCTCACTGGGGACAGTTCGTATTGATGTTTATTATCTTATTCTTGTGGAGGGGCTGGGCCAGTGCTGTCATCAGTAGAGGAAGGTCTGGGTAAGGGCTCTCATCACAACCAATGGAAGAGTGGCACCTTCTCTGCAGCTGGGGCCCAAGAGGGGAAGAGATTTGTCCAGGGCCACTGGCCAGTGTATGTCAGAGTGAGGGCGGGGTGTGAACCCAGGGCTTCCTGAAGCCAAGGACAACTTTCTGTATCACATTGCTTCTCTTGAAGATAATATTGCTTAAAGTGAGAGGAAGTAAAAGGAACACAATTAAAATTAGTCATCTTGTACTTTTGGGGAGGAAGACATGAAATGAAAAAAAAACACATAAAGATGCCTTAGCTTTCTTGGGAAACTTAAAACCAATAATTCCCATCCTTTAGGGTAGAGGAACTGTCAGTTTCAAAACAAGGTGAAATTTTAAGAGGTGATCTGCTGTCCCCTTGGTGGCTGCTTGTGTGGGATGACTGATATAAATTTTATTTGTGCCTAACAGGTGTGATCTCTACTAGAGGTCCTCCATGGCCATGTAGATATGAATCTTGTGCTGAGGAGTGGGTAGAGTACAGAACATATTGGAGATGTAAAGCAATGTGGATTGATTTTCATCTGCATCTCTGTAATGGGAAAAAAGATGAGGTGCCATGAAGATCAGGACAGGAATATTTAGCCTACAGTGCTGCCCCAGGGAGCACCCTTAGGGAAAAAAGTGTCCATCTTTTTCATTATATCATCCCTTAGCTCCTGGAGGGAAAGAACAACAAAATAAATCACTATTTAATGTATTTAAAAAAAAGGCTTAACTGGACTTTGTTTACCTGACTTAGCTAACCCTTTAAGGTGTCATTGTCTGTACTGTCAAGGAAGGAGAAAAGATAGAAACAGCCAGTGTTGGAGTCATTGTGGAAAGACAGGCACACTAATTCAAGGGTGGTGGAGCCATTTAGGAAGGCAGTTTGAGATTGGGCTCAGAGAGTGATGACGCTATCAGCTTGGACCCTGGGCTGACACTGTCAGGTTTACATATCCCCAAAGCGGCTCAGGGACAGGATATTCCCGGGAATAGTCACAGCAGTGCTTTTTGTGGTAGCAGAGAACTGAAAAAAGTAGCTCTCCCTCAGTTGGGAAAATAGCTCAATAAGTGGAATGTGAGTGTGATGGAATAGTATTGCATGATAAGAATTGACAAATTCCAAGAAGCATTGGGTGATGTGTATGAACCGATGAAGAATGGAAAACTCAGGAAAACCACATACACAATGCGGTTTTAAGATCTTAAGAAGTTTTCTGTGTTCTTCAAATCACTGTTCTTATGTCGTAATTTTTTACACATTTTACACATTTTATAATGAAAATCAATATGAAATATAATTTCAATTTATAGAAATCAACTTGAGAGCAAAATTTTCAGGCAAACTTCTGTTCTTACAAAATAAAGGAGTCTAATTTTTGCAGCCAAAGCATTTTTTATTTGTGATTACATTATTTTGACTTTTTAAAGTCTGTAGTTCAGAATTGGAAATATTTCTTTTTGTTTGTAGTAATGAAGTAGAAAAAATGATTGAAAGACACGAACGCCTGAAGCCTGAAATGTTTGCAGAATTGCTGCAAGCTGCAAACACCACTGATGACTTTAGGAAATGTCCTGTAAGTATCCGTTGAGAAAGTGGGCCTGCGCTTCTGGTTCCTGAAGCTTCTCATTTATTTGAAGAAGCTTCAGATCTTTTAAAATGTGTGTGATCCGTCGCCACGTCCTCTACTGAAAACTTTCGTGGTCTCTTCTTGTGGTAGAGAGCCTGCTTGCCTGCCTGAAATGTTGCTACTTTTTAAGAGATTGATCTATCCTTGATTAACTTGCAAGTGATGAGAAATACTGTATTAGAAAACGAAGTTCCTTCTCACTCCAAAGTTTTGCCTGTTTATTAGCCAGTAATAGAAAGTAAATTTTCTAACTAAAATACTTCCAGGATGAACCTAACTTTTTATAATAAAACTTAATGTGTAAAATATGTCTGTTTGCTTTTATTTTATACCTTTCCCCTTTTTTTCTTCCCCTCCAGAGTAACTGTGGGCAAAAAATAAAAATCCGCCGTGTTCTAATGAATTGCCCTGAGGTCGTCACAATTGGCTTAGTTTGGGATTCTGAGCATTCTGATCTGACTGAGGAAGTTGTTCGCAATCTGGCAACTCACCTTTATCTTCCTGGGGTATTTCCATTCATGTCTTTCTATTAATGTTCGGTTCCCCCACCCAAAGTCGGAGGCATCACGGTGGAGAACAAGAGAGTGGGTATGGATGGCAGGCTTGCATTTGACGGTGGCTGTGCTGTGACGTGAGCTTGTGGCCCTGGGCACCCTGCTTCACCTCGGGGTGTTTTCAGGGAAGCCCCTTGTGATTGTGAGCTACTCAGTTATTTTAAAGGGCTCTTTACATTTGACACATTTGATTTTGTTTCCTAGATCTAACTTCTTTTGTCTTTAAGGAGACTTTTGGATGGTAATTCTGATATGGGGAGGTAGTATGGGGTCTGGTCTAGGGCAGTGGAGTAAGAAGCACTGAAGGGGTGTGAGTGAAAGAAGTGGTAAGAGGCCCTGGTCTCGAGAGAAAACTGGGTTGGGAGCCAAGTAACCAACATTTGATCCCCACCACGTTTGTGACCATGCTCAGGTTACTTCTCTCAGTTTCTTCATAGGTAAATGAAATAAAATGAAGGGTCAGATTGGACGGTCTTTGAGATCCCTTCCCATACCACTCAGTGTAGATGAGGGAGCCGTCCTCGGTGAAGTCCTGTAAGATCACAGACTGCACAGAGACCATGTAGTCTAACCCCCGTTGATTTTACAGAAGCGGGGATCGAGGCTCAGGAGGGAAGTGATTTTGCCAAGGTCCTGAAGGAGGCAGGTGGCAGCGTTGGGATGTTTAACCCCAGCTCCTCTGCCTTCTGAGCCTGGGCTCTTTCCTGCCCTACCGCTGCTTCCCCAGCATAGAGGGTCATGCCTCAAAGCTGGAAGGGACCTCCAAGGCCAGCTAGGTCAGCCCCCTTTCATTTTACAGAAAGGGAAACCAAGGCTCATGGAGGTTGATATCATTCAGACAGTAAGTGTCAGAGGCAGGGCTTGGTGCTAGATCCTGACTCCTGAGCCTTTGTTCTTCCCACTGTCCTTGGCTGCTCCTCGGTGAGAAGAAGAGGTAATTAAATCAGATGACCGTGATGACGTAATCTTGTGGTCAGATACTAGCAGTGCTAGGAATGAGTTATGAATAGCACCTACTGGACTTTCCCTTACCAGTCTTCCCTCATCCCAGAACTTCTGCTAAGATTATGGCACACCAATCCCTTATAAAGTTACTGTCTTAGTATTTTCCACTGCAACATTTTTGAATCAGTAGGCTAGCCAAAATTCATAAATACCTAATAGAAGTTTTCACTTATTCTTCACATATATAGGTATAATGCTTGTTAGGCCGTTTTGTTTTGAGATAGAATTTGGAAAATTGGACCTAAATTTTTAAAATTCAGTTAAACATATTAAATGCCTACTACATGTAAAGCACTGTGCTGGGTGATGCTGATAATACAAAGACAAAAACAAAACAGCCCCTGCCGTCAAGGAACTTACAATCTGCTAAATGGTTTCAAATCCATATAGTTTTTACCAACTGCCTCACGGACATGGGCAGGCCATACATATTTCTAAATAAGTGATTGTTTCATTAACTAATTTGGTCTCACCACAGTGACCCAACTCTTAACAGATAATATGAGTTGAAAAACATACGGGGACTAGAGACAGAGTCTACATTTTTAGAAAGTCTGCCTATTTGGGCAACATTTTCACTGTGTCTTTTCAAAATTTGTTCATTACTTCGCTAGAAATTTGGTAGCATAGCATCGATAGAATTAGAGCCGAAAGGGACTTCAGAGGTAATTAAATCAACCTTCCTCATTTTATAGATCAGGAAACCGAGGCCTAGAGGAGGGAAGAAACTTCTAACGTCATGGCCCTTGTAAGTCGCAGAGAGGGGATTTGAACCTAGGTCTTTCTGACTCCAAGTACAATACTCCACCAGTGCTGTCTGAGGGAACTTGCCACTTGGGGTTAGTGTAGTCAGCAGTGATAATGTTGTCACGGTTTGAGTAGTGACAGTACACTGTAGATTGGGGATAGGAAGATTTGTGGTGATTTGGATGGTGATGAGAGAAGGGAGAAGTCCTGTCATGGTGGGCGAGTCAAGGGAGGGATATAGGAAGTCTGTGTGGCTCAGTTTTTTAAAGCCATTTTGTCAAACCGCAATTACTAATGAGTAATCCATTTGTACAGTTGTTTTATAGGGTAACTGATGAAAATGCCAAGACTAGTGAGCTTCATCTTGTTGGTGTGATCTGCTATACCAGCCGACATTACTGTGCCTTCGCTTTTCATACCAAGAGTTCCAAATGGGTGTTTTTTGATGATGCCAACGTGAAAGAGGTAAGTTTTTGAAACTGGCTGGCTCCCTATGCCTGTAATGCTCTGCCACACTTTATTGTAGCAACATGTGCCATGCCTCAGGGAGGCAGGGGCCCAGACACAGGAGGTTGGCCTGTTGTCTACAGTGTTTGGAGATCTGAGGGGGACACTTTACAAAAGACCATTTCACAAGTCCGTCCTTGTGTATGTTGCTGCTGGCCCATTCACAGGAATGGGCTCATCATGTGGTAGAATGACTTTTTCTTTAAAATCTCTTCAGCTGATCCAAGATTTCATCAGTGTGATTATTCTCTTTTTGTTGACTTGGATTTGAACTTCTCCACATCTTAGAAAGTTAACTGGAGAAAAAAGCCTCCCGACCCAGCCAGGTGTCTGGTGATGTGGAGTTCTTGGAGCTGCACTGCGATATTTGTGGGCCAGCAGCAGCCATGCAGTCCATGGGCCTGGTTTCTAACCAAACGAGGTCCACTCTTACACAGCACGGTGCCCCTTGGCATTGACTTCAGGAGTGTAGGGTTCCCACTATGCCAAGGTGGAAAGGGAGGGGCGAGCAGCAGACTAAGGTTGTTGTGGAAGAATTCGGAACATAATTAGCTGGACATTGTAGACTGTTTTGAGTATGTGCTGCTCCCTGAAGCTGTTTTTGTACTGTCCCTACCTAGCAAACTGGGCAAATGAAATATTAATTAAAAATAATGGAAATAACATGTTTATTGGCAGTTCTAAAATTAAAAGCCCTGTAATTTCCTAATGGCTCCATTTATTTTTCTAAACAGATAATCCAGCTGATAATGGAGAACTAGGCCACTAACTTCCTTGTGACTTAAAGGAAAGCCTTTTCCTTTTTGTGCCCTTGACACGTTTTGATGCTGACAGCTTCTGGTGGGATGTGATGCACAGTTTTGTTTCAGGGCCTTAGAGGGATTCAACCCTGGAGAATGGGCCGACCAACCTGGGGAGGCGGGAGTGTCAGGTGCCTCTGTCGTCCCCTTGTTTTTTAGGGTCGTTAACACTCAGCTCATCTAATGACTGTCCTGTAGATAGATAATTTACCTTGAAACCTTTTTAGGTTGGGACTAAGTGGAAAGATGTGGTGTCCAAGTGCACGAGATGTCATTTTCAGCCACTGCTTCTGTTCTATGCAAACCCGGACGGTTCAGCCGTGTCTACCGAAGATGCTCTCAGGCATGTCGTCCACTGGTCCTATTACAAAACCGCTGCCGATGAAGACGCGGGTAATTTTTTCAGTGGCTTCAGGAACCTCGGGGTTAAGATTTGAGGACCAGAGTGCAGTAGGTGTTTAGTAGACTCATTGGGGTGCTAAGGACAGTGTGTCACCAAACGGCACTCTTGGAAATGATTGATTTGATTGGGAGCAGGGATTGTGAACATCTGTGAGCCATTCTTTTTAAAGTTATATGGAAGACTGAAAGGTAATTAGTGCCAGAAATTTGTAGAGATTGTCAAGGCACCTGAAGTCCCAACGCTAGAGATTGTGACTAGACCGAAGCCACCAGTCCCCTGCCCAGGATTGCTGCTGCTGAGGTTGCTGGGTTGGGGCTGGGCTGTGCACGTCTGCTTCAGAAGGGGTCACACTGGGCAGGGGAGGAGGGGGGAGTGTTTTAGAAACAGAAGCCAATGTTAAGAATGCCCAGAAAATAATTATTTTTTAGTTAATAGTTAACAGAGACAGATTCCATCTTTAAAAACTTCAGTGTTTCTCTTTCAAAGGTTTTGAAAGGCCCTCTACTCATAAACCAGAGAGTACCAAAGAAGATGGATATAGTCATCAGGCGAAGCAGAGAATCAGTCCGAAATTGCACGTCGATGATGCCGTGGCTTTGACGCGCGGCCCTGCCCTGGCAAGTGGTGGAAAAGGACCAGGTATGTGTGTGTGCGCATGCATGTGTGTGTGTGTGTGTGTGTGTGTGTGTGTGTGTCTATGAAATGCCATTTTTAAATTTGGAATTCAGCCCAATTCTTTCATGGAACCCCCAGCTCCTAGTGTAGACCCAACTTCCACATGCACATGAACAAGGATTCTGTGTTTCACAGTCTCATTATACTTTAATGTATGTGTTGTTCTTGAGGCCCATTTTTCATTGAGTGATGTTCTTTGAACCATGAACTCACCATTTTACGAGGTACCAGTGGGTTGCCAAACCCTGTAATCTGAATTGGGCCTGTGACATAATTTAGTGGACTCATGATCTCCGTGACAGGAGTGTCCCCCTCACATCACCCCACCCTTGCTGCCTCATCCTGTTCACTTCTTGTTCGTGTCTTTCCCTACATTGTAGGGCCTGAGACTTAGGGCCGAATGGGAGCTCAGAGCTCATCTTGTCTTCTCACTTTATAGAGGAGGAGATGGCGGGGGGGGAGGGGGCAGTGCCCACAGGCCCGGGGAGGGGGGGGCGCCCTGCCCTCTCTGTGTGGCTGACACCTGGGGTGGGGGAGCTGTCCCCACGCCGTGGTTCAGTAACCATGGATTTTTAAGACCCATCTCACGTACTGAGTTTGAGCCGGACTACGTTGTAATGTGGAAATCTCCTGAAAAGTGGGGCACAGTCAATGCTGTGGGGGACGTGGGTGCGTTAGAGCCTTTGCTTGTGCTTGGCCTGATTCTTATTGTGATCAGACTTGGCTTTGTTATCGTCTGATTCCACAGTCAGTTTTTAATCAGGACTGTCATTCATGTGACTTCAGTTTGAAGTGAAACAGTTGAAGGGTGCTGTGTTTAGTTCTGGGTGGGAAACCCCAAACCCTAAGCTTGATGGTGTTCCCCTTGATTTTGCCAGGAATGTAGCTCTTAAGTACCTTTTGAATGCACATTTGGCCTCCAGAGTGGTTAGTCTTGCCCAAGGTAGGAGCCAGACTTCAACAGTGTCTGTGAATGAAAGCTCCAATAACTTTTTCCTTCAGACTTTCAATACCTCATGCCTTTCTTATCTGATACTGGAGCTGTCTACAGTAACTCTTGGTGGCGTTCTGTCACCTTTCGAGGGTCTTACTCCGAAGACGAGCGCACTTTAGCGTTGGGCCACGCTCGTTGCAAGTGCTGGACATGGCTGGCTGCTGAGGCACACACTGGGCCGTCTAATTCTGACGCCTTGGGTGCTCTTAGGGCCTATACTAGTTTCAAATCTTTCAGTGTTAAGGTTTTTCCCAGTTTTTCCAATGGCTTAGGAAATACACGTCTTCCTTCATAATCAGAATGGTTCTTTTTCCAGTCAAACTTGGTCATAGTGACCAGAGGGACAAGCTCAAAGACATTTCCAGAGAATGTGCCCAAAGAGTCGCTGAGCAGAAAAACTTCCTCTCGTCCCAGAGAAGAGAGTTGGAGAGGGAGCAGAAGAGAGACCCTGGGAGACAGCGAGGTGAGCGACCAGGGCTGTAGCAGCTCATTGTGCCCATTAGGCCGCATTGTGAAGGTGCCCCTTCCCTGCTCTTCATGTCATTCTGTTGGTGATTCTCGGGGCTCACAGCCTGCTTTAGAAACCCCTTTGGGGTCGCACTGCCATTGGGTAAGCCGAGGCATTCTCCATAGAGGCCCCCCTGTCCGCCCTTCCCCCCGCAGCCAGACATCATAGGCATCAGACTCAGAGGTGCCTGCCATAGACGGCCCCTTCTTGCAGCAGACAGCACACTCGGTTTGCGTGTTAAAAAGTGACTGCCCAAAGCATTTTCTTTGTTTTTCAGATTTGTCCAACGAGGACCTGTCTCGCTTCAAATCTGGAGCACCCCTCACCGCCTCAGTGAATGGATTTCAGCAGCACGGCAGCCAGCCTGGATATTCTAGCCAAGGGAGAGGGTCTTCTCGCCATGAGCGAGCCATGCCCCAGGGCCGGACCTCCACACAAGCGCCAAGTTCAGTCAAACCCCAGCTGGGGGAGAAGGTGCCCAGTAAAGGGAAAGGCAGCAGTGCTGCCGGATATGACACAGACAGCAGCCAAGACTCTCGGGACAGGGGCAGCACCTGCAGCGGCGGCAGCAGCCGCAGTCGGGCCCGCAGCTGGAAACCAATGAGGGAGACGCTGAATGTGGACAGCGTGTTCAGCGATGCTGAGAAGAGACACGCCACTCCAAGGCACAGAGCAAACAGCAAATCCAAACATGGCCACGATCAGAGAGGAAACAGCTGGTCCAAAGAGGTGTCCAAGCAGAAGGGCCTGATGACCATCTATGAAGACGAAGGGAAGCAGGAGACCGGAAGCAGGAGTTCCCTGGACTCTGCTGGGAAAGGCCCCTTGGAGACCAAGGCTCCCGGGGACGGCGGGCAGATGCAGAGGACCGAGTCAGGCTATGAGAGCAGCGATCGGGTCAGCAATGGCTCCGCCAGCTTGGACTCCCCGCCCCGGGAGGGGAGCAGCACAGCGAGCCCCAGCGGCACGAGAGAAGCGCGGCCCGGCAGGTAATACACTGGGCTGGAACAAAGCTGCTTGGGCTGGTTCAGAGTATAGAAATGCAAAGTCATACTTTTAAAGGAGTTCTAGGTCTGCATATCTTTCATGTTCTGAAGCATTTATCCAAATATAGAGATAATAGTAGTTATCCCTTCCATATCACAACTGTCCCCATAGTGGTTTCGATATATTGCAAGTCTGCATAAGAAATTAAATGGGAATTTTGGGGGAGTTTTGTGGAAGCTGCAGACAAGAATGCCGGCAAAGCCACAGAACCTTTGACCAAATACTTAACCCGCATTTTACAATAGGGTACGGTAAACATCGCATGAAAGAAAAGAACAATTCAGACTTCTCTGGTACGAAGGGAGGGCTAAAAGTTTTACACCAATTTTTCCAGGTTGTGGGGCCGCTCCCATCACCCCCCACGATGTGGAAGGGATAACTGTATAATTCAGGATTAAAAGTCAGGATATCTGTGTTTGGACTAGCCAGCAGATCTGTAAATGTCTTTGGACCTCTTTCCTTACCTATAAAGTGAAGAGGACGCTCGGAGGTCTGTCCCTTCTCTGAGCTTCTGATTCATGAAGGCTTGGATGTCAGTAGCCGGTGAAAGCATCATTCAGCTGAACATTTTGAGAGCATTGGTCAGGAAGATGAAGTATCCTTCGTCCTGCATTTCAGTTCATTTTGAGAGCATCTCTACTGCGGTTGGGTTTTGGATTTTTGTGGGGAGATGTTTCATGTTGGAACAGCAGTTATCTTAGCACCTTTTTGTTCATTCCGAATAGCTGTAGTCTGTAAAGAGCCAGCAGCAGGTCTACTGTGATACATGGGGCTTAATAGTTTTACATTGGCAGTGAATTATTCCTTGCTTGTTTCAGTAATGTGAATTCTGTGATAAATTTCTCTGTAATATTGAAGATCTTGGAATTTTTTCTAGGGTTTTAAACAACAGATGTGAACTGGTTTCCTAAGTGAGAGAACTGACGTGCCCTAGCTCAGCAGTCTTGTCTGAGGGAGCTGTGGTTCTTTGCATTGAGACAAATTCCCTTCTCTTCACCTGTGACATGGAGGTGATGTCACTTGCACGATCTGCCTTCTTGTATGGTAGTGGGGAAAGTGCTTCTTACACAGAAACTATCCTTCAGCCTAGCCGGACTGACAGCCGAGTGCTCCTGCCATTTTCCTTCATGACTGCCTTGATTTCAGCCCTTGACTGGTCCGGCTTTGTGAGCCCATCAGTGTACTTGCAGGCTCACACACAGGCCATCGACGGCCGGGCACCATTTATCCTTGTCCTCCTGCTGGTCTTGGATATGCCGTGCTGGGGGCCTTGCCCTGGGTCTCTGAGCATCTCCTTGTCACCAGTGCAGCCCCTAGGCTGCCCACCCACCTGTTATCCCTAATCTTGGGACATCACTGGTTCACTTGCTTTTCTGAGGATCCGTCTCTGCGATGCTCATCTTCTGGTCCTAGGTAGTTAGAATGTCAGTATTGACATGTTAATGCTGAAAGATGCCCCCATCCCTGCAGACACAGAACAGGGTCTCATGGGATCCAGGTCTCTTGGGCCTTTTTCTTAGTTTCATCGGAGTCCTGGATAAAGTGCCAGGAAGTTCTCTGCGCAGGTGCTCAGAGCCTGTCCGGCACCACACTCCATAGAAATTGCCCTCTGCTGGCAGACCCTTGGAAAGCCTGGGATCACGCATGCCACGGCCAGGGCCTGCCCAGGCCTCAGGGAATGGCTTGTGGAGGGAGAGCTTGTTGGGGAGGACTGAAATAACTGAAGGGAGACTGTTGGAAGAATAAGTACACGTTAGCAAATCAAGTGTCATGCTAGTCATACATTCCTTCCTGCCTTTTTATCGAAATTGGCCATCATGTGATTGCTTTGTAGCTCATGAGTCAAAGGAAGGGGTCCTGCCACACGTTTCTTTTGAATCCTTTTTGGTCGTTTGTCAGAAAAAGCCGAGTGTTTCCAGTGCAGTTGGGGGCGGAGCAGGGGTGGGCATTCCTACTGTCCCCTGGCATTCCAGGACATGCCAGGCTGGCAGAAGAGGGCGCTGCTCTCTGTTAAAAGGTAATGTCTCTTCATCTACATTGCATCTTCAGAAATCTTAAAGGGAAACTTTTACTGTTAGAGTAGAATTACAAAGTCCATTTCTTGAGGGAGAAAATCCACAGCACCCCTGGTCAAGGTGAGGACCCTGGTTTTAATGCCTTATCGTTTTATTTGAAATACTTGGCATAGCACTTTATTTTCCATCTTCTTCATACATGTTCCATAGTAATCAGACTCCACTGTGAACAGTGTAAAGATTGAGTCATGTAATTCTGTTTTATTGGGAATATTGTTAAGAAAGATCTGAAGAAAGAAAATAACATGAATAAAAGAATTTCTTAATGCATTTGTATTCTTTTTAAGCCAGATGTTTTGTTTTATTTTTACAGTAACCAGATTCAGTCAAGTAAACCGAATGTAGACAGTTTGCAGCATAACTCCCGACAGTACAAAGACCATCTGGAAGGTAAGAATTTTATTTATTAGTAGCAATGAAAATCAAATGTCATGTTTATATTCATCCTTGAGAGTTGCTGTGTTCAAGAAAGCCATGCCCCTGCCCCCAGGCCTGGTGAGGAGTCTGCAGGTGGCCAGCATGGTGGTTGGGTGCTGGGCCTGTCCTCACAGCCTTGCCTGGCTGCTGCTGGTTCTGAGAATAAGCATTGATGCAGTGCCTGCTATGTGCCAGGCACTTTGCTAAGTGCTCTTTATAAATACTGTCTCATCTGATTCTCACAATGACCTGGTGAGGTAGGTGCTGTTATTATCCTCATTTTACAGTTGAGGAAACTGAGGCAAACAGAAGTGACTTGCCCAGGGTCACACAGCTGGTAAGTGTCTGAGGCCAGATTTGAACCGAGTCTTCCTCACTCAAAGCCCAGGGCTCTTGTGCATTGCCCCACCAGCTAGCTGCATCAGAGAGCTATCAGAGGAGGTGGATTTCATGTTTTAAATAAGATTGGAGCGTGTTAGAGTATAATTTCTTCAGATGTTTCAAGAGCTTAGATATAAACTGTGAATAATTTGTTTCATTTTATAAAAAGTGGCATATCTCATTTTCATGAAATATATTCATGTAAAAAGAAATCAGTATTCTTTTTGTGGGGCACTGTGGTTTTCACAGTATTTTTGGCTTAGTTTAGAATATTCAGGATGAAAGCAATATTAAGATTTCCACCTTCTTTTCCTATGTTCTTTTGTGTGATTGCTGAAGCTTTTGGAGTATTAATAAATTTATTTTTGACATGTCTTTAAAGTTCCAAAAAAACTATTGTGAGTAGTTGGGAGAGAGGAAATGACTTGGAATCCTCCACCTTTTTGCATAAGAGAAAGTCCTTACTCTTGGTGTTACAGAAATCATTGTCTCAGTAGGAAGGGAACTGAGAAGCTGCCTAGTCCAGTCTCACAGTCTGGAAAATCCCAAGGCCACATGTGGGATAGTGGCTGAAAGAGCCCTAAGCTGGGAATTAGATGCCGGGTGTAGGTAGGCCAGCCGCCCGCCATTCACTAGATGAGGAACCTTCTCGGCTTCATTTTTGTCATTATAACATGAAAGGGGGGAACCGGAGGAAAGGCTTTTCTAGCTCAGATGTTCCACCGATGTGTGAAGATCATCCCCAATGGATGTCCACTTATCCTCAGCCAGGACGATTCCTGGGGTACTCACTTCAGAAACCCTAGTTAGGTGTTCTGCATTGGCTGATTATACCAGTGGCATAAAAGGCTCACTTCTGTGTTTGCAGTATTGGAGTTGTCCCAAAAGTCAGGAGTCAGCTTTGATTATGAGGCTTTCTGTCTTGACTGCAGCAGGCAGCATGCTAGGGCCGACAGCTTCTCCTGTCCTCATGCCCTCATGAGAGAAGGAGGTCAAGGGCAGAGGAAACAGATGATTAAAGTGGCAGCTTTGAGAAACTTCCTCATCTTCCCATTATTGACGTTTTAGATACTTTTCTTGTGTAGAACCTCAGCGCCCAGAGCACATCAGCCTTTCTCATCCCCAGTTCACAAAAATAACATGTATGTTTCTTTACTTGGTTCAGTTATATTTTTTTTAATACAGAATGTAAGACCTTTTTTTCCCCAAAGAACATCCATCCCTTCTCTAGTTTTCCCTTTTCTTTTATTCTTCATTCAGAGTGAAAAATAGGTGTATTTGTTTAGACTTGAAAAAAAAAAGCCAAGTCCTGGATCTTGTTTCTAGAATTGTAGATGTTCATAGATATGCCACTGAATGTGATGAGACCTTAAATTGTTTGCATCAGATGATGTAATAGTGAGAGGACACATTTACATGAAGGAAATTAAATTCTTTTCCCACATTAAAATGCCTCACAGGGTCTAATAAGGTCCGATGAAGGTTTCTTTTGCTGAGAATCAAAGGAAACAGTTAAAAGGTTGACCAGAAATCACCCTAGAAGCCAGGGAGTTTGAGCAATAATCATAAACTCACTATCAGGCATTATTTGGCTCCTGGTTGTCATAAAAGAAGGGGTGCAAAGCTTTGGGTGGTGTTAACATTTCATTGCTGTACAGCATTTTTCTTTATTTGTATTTTAAAATAGTCTACACTCAGGCACTTCTACAATTGTGTGTTAACCTAATAAATTGTAGTGCAGGATTGCCCTCTGCTGATGCAGACCGCTGCTTCCCCATAACTTAATAGGATCTTTGAGAGTTGCTGTGGCCAAAATATGGCAGCCTTTGGCAGCTAGCCCATATGTGAGCATCTCTGAACTTAACAAAGCTGGTCCTTGGGCAAGAATTCCCCTGACATTTCCTGTCAAAATTTTAACGGATATAGGCCATTTCTTCTGCTAAACATATTGTTTGATGGGTAACAGACATAAAAACCATCACTGGGTCAGTCGTAGGCTCTCCACTTTGTCCTAGGACCTGCTCAGGCTTGCCTAGCTCACCCCCTTGAGTGCCCCAGGAGAGTGTGTGAGGATGACTGATGGTAAGTTTAGTTAGAAATTCTAAGCCCACCCTGATCCTGGCCATCCTTGCCTTGAGAATCACATTTTAAATGAGTTCTTCTGCTGGCCATTTCTATGTGGTGTAAGTTTCATGCCTAAGAAGCCCATATGAGGTCTTTCAGAATAGCGTTCTTCTTCTGCCATCAAAGGACACCCACCTTCCCGTCCAAATATAGATGCTTTGTCAGTATTGGGTGTTGACGTGTTTTTCTGCGGCATGCACTAGAATAGCTGGACATTGAGGGTTTGGCAAGGAAGAGATTGTACCAAGGAGCTCTCAGGCTTGATCATCCCAGAGAAACAGGAAGGTAGCATGGAAGCTTCCCCGCCTCCGCCCCTCAAAGGCACATACCAGTCTGTGTATATAACATTTGCAGGGTGGTGGTTGTTGTTTCTTAAAAGTGAGGAAGTTTGGGACTGACTGTCCTTGCTGCTACTATATAACACAGCTGTTTTTAACTTTGTAATATCATTTTTCCCATTTCACAAATGTGAATAAACCCATCATATTGTCCAGAGGGGTGCTTTTTTAAAGATAGAAGAGGCTTTGAAAATGTGAGGGGCTTCAGAAATGATTTTACCGTACTTGGAAGCCATCCTTGAACAGCAAGCTGTAGAAGTGTGTTTGGAAGGGTAGACAGATCACAGTGTTTTGTTCAGGGATTACTGTGTGTTGGGCCCTATGCCAAGCACCAGGGATGCAAAACTAGGCAGGCAAAACCGGCCCTGCCCTCTTGGAGCTTGCAGTGTGCTAAGGGAAGACAACCCATCCAGAGGAGCTGAGAGGCCACAAGGAAGGGTGCCCGTGCTGGGGGAGGTGCTGGGTAAGGAGAAGAAAAGTGGAGTTGGGAGGGAAGCGGCGCCTGGCTGGGGTGGTCCCTCCTGAAATTGGGGTTGTGGCGAGTGAGGCTTCAGGATGGAGGAGTTTAAAGAAATTGTAATAATAGCATTACTGTGACGTGTAGTTTAGAATTTCCATTGTTCTTTTCTTTAAAGATTGTTTTCTTATTGGGCCTGGGTTGGTTTTTTCTTCCCCTTTAAAACATTTTACCCATTTAGGGTGCTCTAGAACAGAATTTGCCGATTGAAAATGTTCATCTGCAAAATGAGGGGGGGTTACGTGAAGGCCCCTAAGGTCCCATCCAGCCCCAAACTTCTGGACTCATTCAGATCCCCCCTGGTCCTCTGGTCACACAGCAGCCAGCGCCTTTGTTCATGCCTGGAGTATTGCACCAGCCTCTAGGCTCGCTAGGTCTCCCCCCACCCCGTTCTAGGCTGCTCTCTACATGGCTGCCACCATGATCTTTGTGAGGCGCAGACCTGACTTTGTGACTCTGGAAACTCCAGGGGCTCCCTGCAGCAGCTGAGACAGAAATGTGTCCCTTTGGTTTAAAGCCCCTCCCAGCGTGACCACAGCCTGGCCTTCCCGCCTCGTCAGACATCTCCCTCCTGTTGTCTTTGCTCTGGTCACACTGGCCTTCTCTCTGTTCCTCCCACATGACACTGGACGGTCCATCTCCACGCCTTTGCCCTGGCCTTCTCCTGTATCAGGAGGGAACTGCTTAGCCCCACCTTCTGCCCTGAAGCCTTTCCTGACACCTCCCCCGCGAGGCCTCCCTCCCTAGCTGCTCTGAGTGTATTCTAGACTTCCTCACAATGTCAGCTCCTTGTTTCGTTCTCTGTACTGGTATTCTTAAGGCCCTGGCACCTGCACTGTTGTCTTCTGGGGGAGTCAGACCATGTCCTTGGTGACCCCAGTAGGTGCTCTGTCTGCACCCTCTGGAGGGTGGCGACTACAAATTCCAAGTCAGTGACAGGTTTGAAAAGTGATCTTGAGGGGCAGCTAGGTGGCGAAGTGGATAGAGTACCAGCCCTGAAGTCAGGAGGACCTGAGTTCAAATCCGGCTTCAGACCAAACACTTGACACTTACTAGCTGTGTGACCCTGGGCAAGTCACTTAATCCCAATTGCCTAAAAAAAAGAAAAAAGAAAAAAGAAAAGTGACCTTGAAGGCCATAAAGTTGGTCTTTACTGTAGCACCTGTAGCATGGCTGGAGGCGGCACTCACTCGGGCCCTGGGCTCGGGAGGCCTGGGTTCTTGGGGTCTCACACTGGCGTGGCCAGCAGCTTAGGCTGTGGCTTTAGCACCTTTCTGTAAAACTGGAGCGCAGCTGCCCTGCCGGTCTCACCGTGGCTGCTGAACCTCAGATGAGGTAAGGGATGCCACCCCAATGAGGCATCTGACCTTTGTTGGAAGTCAGCCTTCTGGGATGGCCTGCCGAGATCACCTGTGGGGAGCTTTTGTTGTTTCTTATTTTCTTCATACATGGAGCTGAAACCTGCTTCTACAGCTTCTGCATAATCCTCGGGGCCAGCACACAAGTGGGTAAGGACTGCAGTGAGGACAGGGGACCAGTTCCCTGGGCAGGGCCCTGGATTGTATAGTGAGGGCACAGGGACCCTCAGGGGAATCGGCCAGCAAGGCCCCAGCTATACGAGCAGAGAAGTGTTTGCAGGGAAGGTCTGGAAAAGTGGCTAAACAGAGCAGCTTGCCTAGGGCCAAGAAACAAAGGATTTAGTTAATTTTTTTGGACAGTCATAGCTTCATTCTTCCCAGTAACCTCTAGCCTTTTGATCTGGGCCTCTGGATGGGCCCTTGGCCATGGCGGGGAGACACACGATGTCTTCCTGCCCGTCCTACTTCCTAGAAGGGACTAAGTCTGTGGTCCTTTGCCCTTCTTGCTAGTAGCATTCTGGAGAATTTTGTGTGATCCCTTTAAAACCAAGCTAAAGCATGAGTCATGTGACAGCTGCATGCCTGAGAGAGGTGCGTGAGAATAACTGTCCTGCTTGGTTGGCCCCACCTAGGGAAGCCTAGTTCAAGGGACAGGGGACCCTCCCTAGGCCTCTTCCTCAGAACTCCAGTGCAGTCATTGACCCTTGTAGTGGCCTGATTACCTTGGAATGGGGATGACCTCTGTGGCTGAGCGATCAGCCAGCAGGGAATGGCACTGTGCCATGGGCAGGGAGTGGGGTGGGCGCTGAGGTGTGGCAGAAGATGGCGCTGCCATATCTGGGTCCCGGCTCTTCCAGATTCAGACTTCGCGCCCTCCCTCTTCATTCCTTCGGTGATCCCTGTTCCCCTTCTCCTTTGAGGAGGAGCCGCTCTGGTCACTCACTAACCTCCTGTTTCTGTGAGCTGTTAGAGGTTGGGGGGCCCGGCCCTTTGTCCAGCAGACTGTCTCAGTAGCAGGTCCCAAGAACAGGCCCTTTGGGATTCCCTGACTGTCCAAAGGCATGTTTGGTTTCATCTGACAGATTATTTCTTAGCCTTCACACACATACACGGTGTATTTTTTTTCTACATTTGGTAATGAAACTTTTCACTGAAAAGAAGGGTTTATTGGAGTGCCTTTATAAAAAGCATGTTAAAGCAAGACAGTGTCTGCTATAATAGACAGCTCCATCAGGCTGGTAAAATGTTTTAAAAATGTAATATTTAAAAGGATAAACATCAGCGAACAGGAAAATGCACTCATGAGACTGATAGGCTTTTTATAGTGTTGCTATGCCTCAAGAGGCAGCTAGGTGGAGCCCCAGTGGAGAGCATGCTGGCCCAGTAGACACTAAACTCCTCCCTCCCTCCCTCCTTCTTTCTGTCTCTCTTCTTCCCTTCGTCCCTGAATCCTCTCACATTTCTCCCTCCCGCCCCTCTGTCCTTTTTCTGCTATAACTCTTTGAAGGTGGTAGAAGATTCTGGCAAAAAGAAAAGTTTCTCTGAATGCATGGTATTTGGGAAGGTAAGATCCAGTTTTTGAAAAAACAGATTTGTCAGAAGTGAACCCTGACCTTAAGATCCAGTTGTCTGGCCTAATATTTAGGCTCTAAACTCCAATTACTGGATTCCCTGCAGACACTGGAGGGACTCAGCAGACAGAGGCACCACCGCTCAGCCGAGCTTTCTGAGGCATTGCCCTTAGGAACATTCAGTGTTTGCTGCATCGTCATGAGGATCGAGACCTGATCCCAGGCACGTGCAGCCCTTCCTCGAGGGGGTGGAGGGCTGCAGGTGTGGGGCAATGTCCGATTTCATCAGCGTTGTTTGGATGAAACGTCTCTTGGTTTTGCTTTTCAAGTTTCCATTTCAAGGGTGGGTCATGGGTAGAGGAGAGGGAGAGTGTAGGTAATACATAAACGTAGCGTCAGACACCGAGGCATCAGTTTCTCAAGTACGCTCAGCGTTTGGAAGGAGCACCCCCCACCCCCACCCCGGAGCTGGTCGGCCGTGCAGGAGCTGGGACTCTTTGGTTGGAGCTGCAGCTCACCGGCCCGTGTGCTGGCCGTCTCACAGCTGAGCACAGGCTGGCTGAGCCCGGCTGGGATAAGCGGGGCCCACCGACAAATGCCTTCTGTATCTCAGGATCGAGGCAGCAGCCTGACCTCGACTCCTTACTCCATCCTTATGCCACTGAGCCCGGCCCTTTGGTGGCCTGGGCCTCTGCACCCTCTTCTGACAGGTCTCTCGGTCCCTTTCAGCTGTAGATCACTGCACTGAAGAGCTCTCAGTACAGTTCAGGAAGCATTACTTAACTTCCTCTGATCCCAATCCAGTCCAGACACTGTGGATTCAAAGATCCGCTCCCTGGGGAGTGTGGGCAGGGGCATCTCCACTACACTGAGGAGTAAATGGGCTCAAAATGAGGACAGTCATGAGGGAAGGGGGAAGACGCCGGCTGGGAAGGCCTTCTCAAAGGCAGTGCCTGGGCTCAGCCTTCAGGAGAGCCTGGGGAAGTCGGAGGCAGGCATGTTTGGAGGCCCCGCTGTCAGGGCGGTGGCTCAGGTATTTCACGGGGCTAAGGCCCAAGCCTGCTTAAAATGACCGTTGGGGGCTTTAACAACATTTAATCCCAGGAAATGTGTAAAAAGGATATTTTGTTACTAGAAAGAAAAGTCTGCCTGTCGTATTCTGAACATGAATGCTACAGGTGGTCACTTGTTCATGAGCATGCTTCGAGACTCAGTTCACACTGGGTGATTTGGGGTGGGCTGCACCATCCAGAGGAGTCAGCAGTTTGGTGGGGTGGCCAGACAAAAACTGATGATGTCTCGGGTGCATTAAGAGGCCCAGGGCTTACAGGAGCAGGAAGGGAAGGTTCTACTGTCCTCCGCTCTCTTCAGAGCATAGCCGAGGACTGTGTTTGGCTCTGGACACCATGACTTAAGAAGGGCCATTGATAACTGGAGTCCATGCAGAGGAGGGCCACCAGGAAGGGCCCTGAGGTGATGTTCACTGAGGATGGACTGAAAGAACTAGACACAAGGGGCATCTGGGTGGTGCAGTGGGTACAGCTCTGGCCTTGGAGTCAGGAGGACCTGAGTTCAAATTCGGCCTCAGACACTTGACACTCACTAGCTGTGTGACCCTGGGCAAGTCACTTCACCCCAACTGCCTTACCAAAAAGCAAAACAAAAAGCAAAAAACTGGACACATTTAGCTTACAGAAGAGAAGATTGGGGGAGACGCACTAGCTGTCTTCAAGTATTTGAAGAGCTCTCTAAGATAAAAGAATAGAACCTGGTATAGAAGTTGCAAAAGGCTGGTGTAAGCTGGAGACCAGGAAGGATGCTCACAGTGGGAGCTGTGACCAGGTGGGAGGCTTCCTCTGCTTGGCCACCTTTCCTTACTTGTTAGATGTGCAGTCTGTGGGATTCTTTTGTTGTGTGCTTTGGCCTCAGTGGCAGCTTCTCCAGAGAGATCTGGTGGTAGGAATGGCTGACCTCTGGAAGGCACTTGAAGATTTAGAAATCATTTTGTACAGATTTCACGTGAGTCTCCTAACAACCCTCTTAGGGAGGCACTACAAATGATGCTTGTTTTTTGGCTGAGAAAACCGAGGTGCAGAAGACCTTGGTGATCGTGCCCATGGCCAAGTCCATTTTGGATCAGGGCTCTCCTTGCCTGGCTGGTCCTCTGCCCAGAGCCGTGCTGCCTCACCATGGCAAATGAGATCCTGCAGTGCCTTGGGGAGGCTCCCTGTGAAAGCTCTCCTCTAAGAGAAGGAAAAAAATGGAATTCTGTGAGGAACAGTTTTAAACATTTGGTGGGGTTTTGTTTTTGTTTTAGATTTGAAAGAAAACATCAGGATTTCAGAAGTGGCCTGTGGACCCCCTGATTTCCATCTACAAGTAGATAATCCTTTAATGAAGAGGTAATAATGGTGGAGTTGCTAAGCAATAAATCCTAAATGATTGCATGGAGAAATCCCTTTTCTTTAATCTTGCAGTGAATACAGTTCTTTATAAATGCCTTTTAATGTTTCCTAACAGTAGGTAGCCATGCAGTGTTCTAATCCCTACCTTTTGGCGGGAGGACAGTGCTGTTTTTTTTTTTTTAAGAGCAGGAAGTATCACCCGAGAGAACCAGTTACATATCATTTGCAGATGGGAAATACCCGTTGAGCCTTACCGTTCTTATAAGGGGAAACCCCAAACCAAACAGGCACATTGGGATGCCAGCTCCTTCTGTTATGGACTTTTTTTTGGTCTTTGTACTTCTATAGTGTCCCCAGCACAGTGCCTGGCACATAGTAGCTGCTTATTAAGGACATATTGATTCACCTTTTCCCTTAATGATGCTATGTTTGTTTTAATATTGCTTATATAAAGATTGACCTCTTCAATCACTGGGTTGTTTATTTAGCTGTAGGCCTCCAGCACTGAAGATTTACGATTTCCTCATTTCACTGCTGGTAGAGAGGGCTGCCCCATCCTCTGCATCTCGACTCTGAGAGTTGCCAGGGCTATGACAGGTTAAGTGACTTGGCCAGAGTCAGTCAGCCAGGATGGATGAGGAGGGACGTGGACCCCGGGCTACCTGAGGCCAGCGCTGTACCCATCACACCAGGCTGCCCTCTGGGCTTGGTTGTTGTTTCCTTTCTAGGCCAGATTTCAGCCTCAAAGAAACCTCTGACTTGCAAATAGTTTGTTTTCATTGATTATGACATTTCTGGGTCAGATGGCTGACTTGGGTAATAATGGAAAATTGTTAAGAGTCACTCTAGGCTGGTTTCCTCTTCTGTAAAGTGAGGTAGCTGGAGTGGATCTCTGAGGCCACCGATTCCCTCCCTTGTCCTAGTGCAAGGTCATCCTGTGGTCTTTATTAAGACAGCTAGACAACCTTTCTTTGGACTCATCAGAAATACTCAGCAACATTGCAAATTGTGTCTTCACTCTGATGTGAGGTATTTTAAATGAATGGTGTCTTAGAAAATAGACATGGGTTACAGCTCAAAGAAATCTGTAATGTGTCTGGAAGTGGTTTTTCCTTCATCCATATTTAATATTTCCTCCTTTATTTTTTAGATCTCATGTGCATGATAGCGAGAAATTTTTGTCCTCATCGAATCCACAGATATTCAAGGACCATGATATAAGAGAACACATCCCCCAACCAAATGAAAAGCAGCTTGAAAATTCAATGGAATGCCATTTTCCTGAAAGGCTTAATTCAGAAAGGTCTGAAAAAACCAGTCCGTCTTTGCTCAGTGCTAGGGGATCTGTCCCCTTTCACGTCCCTGATCATTCTGCCTTGGCAAAGTTAGTCGACAGCGTGAAACTTCCTTTGTCCCAGTTGTCGACACACGTGAAAACGGGCGAGAACTTTGCCCAGCAAAGTCTGGGGGAACTTTGCAGCTCTGCTAAGCAGGCTGTTGCCAGCCCCTCCAATAACGCTGGGGTGCTCGAACCTGCCACCAGCCAAAATCTGCCACCTCCATTGCCTCCAAAGAAGTATGCTAAAGCCATAGCAGTGTCACGGTTAGAGGAGTTCAGTCCTGAGCTGGAACTCTCAGGGAGGGGGAAAGCGAAGCCTCCGAGCCTCCAGAAGCATGCCATCAGTGCCCCTTCCCAGGTGGGGGCAGAGACAAGGCTGAAGGAAGCAGGCCAAGGGAAAGAACTTGGTGAGTCCAAACCCAGGACCCAAACCAGCCCTTCCACTGACTTCCAGACCCCTCTGGATGCAGCTAGTAAAGGCATTGCCCAGACAGAGCCATGGCCCAGCGTGGCACAGCCACATGGGATAGTGTCCCTGACCACCTACTTTTCCGTGGACAGCTGTATGACTGATACGTACAGGTTGAAGTATCGCCAGAGACCCAAGCTGTATTTTCCAGTGAGCAGTGACGTGCATGGAAACAAGCCTCTGTCCCAAACTGAAACGAGGCTGAAAGCTGTGTTCCATGACCATCTGGAGCCAGCCGATGTATAGGCCGGGCCTGCCGGGGGAGCCGCACTGACAGAGAAACTCCTGAGGGCAGCAGGCAGGCACTTCTCAGTCAGTCCACTCAGCCAGGAGAAGCACACCACAGTCAGCTGGTGAGATCTGGGGGAACCTTGGCGTTCCACGTCCGTTGACCCTGGTCCCTTTGCGTCTCTTCTTCCGTGTGGACGTCGGTTGTGTTCACGGCATTCGTGGGACTACTTGGGATGCACTGTGCTGCAGCAGCCAGTCAGTAACCTTCAGGGTAGTTAGCTCAATGTGTGTGCAGCTCACCAGCAGTTACACACACCTGATCATGCTGCCATGTGTCTGGAGCGTGGCGGGGCTAGTCAGTGTCTGCTTACGAGGAAGCACTTTTCATGGGTAAACAGCCAGAGGTTTCACCCACAGTCTTGTTTGTTTTTTGACTTCTGTGATAGTCTACTACCTATGATACCTTCAAGTGTCTTAAATAGAGGAACATGTAAATTTTATCCTTTGATAGCACTGGGGAGGGGGAAAGGCCTTAATTGTGAATGATTTTGACACTAAATTTTCAAAGTCAGGAACAGAAGGGAAGTAATCTCTGCTGCTGGGAGTTCCATTTTTGTTTCACTGAAAATCCATCACTGAGAATGCCTCTTCAGCCAGTAGCATAGATAGTGAGCCCATGAGTGTGGTATGCCATGAATGTTACTTCAGTCATGTAAGCTAAAAATACTCCTGTATTAGTCTTTAGCACATTTATACCTTGCAGTAGTTCTCTTACTTTTACGTGAAGCCTGAAGGTGGCATTTTTGTTTTGTGTTTTGGGAGCTAATAACCAATGCTAGAAAGTGGCACCAGACCCTTATTACAAGTCACCAATGAGTACTTTCCATGGCTGCCTGAATCTTTCCCCAGAGATTGTGATCTAAGCTTCATTTAGTAACTGGCCACCCAGCAAAGTGATGTGTCTGTCCTCAAATTTGGAAAATTTATACTCTTCAGATGGTCAATTGGAATTCATTGTTAATAAAGTATTATTCTGAAATGTTCTTTTAGTTTATGCAAACATTTTAAAGCAGATGTCTTCTCTTTCCAGCTAGCCTTTGCATAAAAAATAGAGCAATTTTCCATTAGACATAAAATGGCCTGGAGTTTAAAAAAGAAAAAGTCCAGTTCTTTTGCACTAAGTCAGTGGCCTTCTTGGGAGGTACAAGGGAGCTGTGTTTTACCAACTGTAATGAAACAGAACCCTAAAGATATGTGACTCAGTGTCCCTGCTTTTGTTTGCAAAGGGTCTCAAAGCCTGGAATTTGTGTATTACATGAGCACTACTGAGCCTCAAGCTGTGGTCCGTCCTGGTAACTCTTCTCCTGTTATTCTGAATGCACCTGTTCACCATGACCCACACTCCTTTGCTTCATCACTCTAATTGCTATCAAGGATCTTACTTCTTCTGTTACCTTAAGGGAAGAAGAATTGAGGAAGCAGCTTGTCAGAATGTCCAAGAAAGGGAAAAGAACAGGGGCTAGCTAGACTAGATTTGGAGAATTAAAGTATTTACCAATAAAGGAGATCCTTCACAAGCCAATGACCAGTACTTTATCTTTCTAGTATAATTCACAATCTGGTCTGTCCTTTCCATTGGTCACATGGCCAGGGATGATTCCTCAGCTGATAAGGGGGAAACCTCCAAGAGGGCTATCAAATCCTACTTAAAAAAAAAAATCCAGTTAATTAAAAGATGTGTTACTGCAAATAACTGAAATGGGAAATTGTCATTCCCTAGGTTTTCTTATTTTAAATTTAATACTTTTTCAAATTTACAAAGTAGATCTTTTTTTCTCCTGATCATAAGCATCTTAAATTACAGTATTTGAGAATATTCTGAAATATAGAATAATTTAATTGCTACCTTTTGATGTAAGAATGGAAAATAATTACTTGTAAAGCTTGTATGTTTGCTTGGCCTGACTTATGTTTGTCTTCCATTTATTATTCTAAAATTTCTCAAAGGTTTGAAATTCTTCTTGAATGATGGTTAGTTTATATCCTTACACAATTTAGAAAGACTTGAACATACCAAGTAAATTGCATTTTATCCTTCCTCCAAAGCTGTATTTTAAAGCTTTCAGTACTGACATTTGTAAATAGTGTAAAGTTTGTAAAATTCTGTTTGAAATAACAACGTATTTAACTTTGCTGCTTGCATAATTGTAACATCAGCAATAATAGACTCATTTCAAAAGATTCATTAATGTGTTTTTGGGGGAAAAAAAGTCTGCACAGAAGACTGGTATTGTTGCTTTCAACTTGACATCATTCCTGATTTCCAGATATTTGAAAGGTCTTTGATACTGGCACTTTATCAGCGCTGAGTATACCAGCTCTTAAATGTCAATAGGTTATTTCAGGTACTACTTCAGCTCCCTTAAATACGGTCCATTTAGTCGGAACCTTTGGTTTACAGCATTTACTGAATGACATAGCAATGGTCAAACTAGAAAATGTCATTACCTTTTATATTTGAATGTACACTCCATATGCAGGCAGAATTTCTAACTGCTAATTTATCATGCACATTTTAAACTTTTGATTTTACTTCTAGGGTGCCTATTTTTATAAGTTTTGATTTGATTATGAAGTTTTCATGGTAACTTTTGTAATGTGTTTAACAATTCTTGTAATGAACAAAATGTTTTAAACTATCTTTAGAATGCTGTATTTTCCTGGGAAATCATTTTCTTCTAGTTCAAAATTGTTAAATGGTAAACACCTTTTAAATTAGAATTGTGTGGACTTGTGTTCTTAATATGTATTAATTGTGGTTTTTTTTAAACACAGGTTGTTTGCTTTTGTGCGAAATGTAAACAGTTCAAATTGTCCATTGCTGGACAACTGGACTCTAACCGATAGTTATTTTTCAGTCACGTCAGATTCTTTGTGACCCTATTTGGGGTTTTCTTTGTAAAGACACTGGAGTGGTTTGCCATTTCCTTCTCTAGCTCGTTTTACAGATGAGGAAACTGAGGCAAACAGGGTCACACAGCTAGTAAGTCTCTGAGGCCGGATTTGAATTCAGGAGGATGAGTCTTCCTGACTTCAGGCCTGATGCTCCATTTACTGCACCACCTAGCTGCTCTTAACTGATCTCATCACAGCCAAGTAATATAGAATGGCTTATTACAGGTAGCCACAGTTATGTTCTCAGTGGTCAGCTTGCCACCCCCGTTGCTTATGAGCCATCAGAGCAGGTAGTAGGCCAGGGAGCACCAGCACTGCTTTCCAGGGATGTTAAGAAAGGTCACAAGGAAAGTCCGCTGCCATCGGGCCAGTTTACTGGAATAGGGACTGTGATCTCCATGCAGTTCACTTCCAGCTCTGGGTGGGGCACAGGAGTGGGAGATCTGATTTCCTCCATTAAAATACTGCTGCTTTTGAATAGCTTATTCCCTTTCCCAAATGCAGGCATGTTTAGAATGAAGGTCAGCACTCACTTGTAAGCTGAAGAATGTCCTTGAAGATGGTAGGGAGAAACGAGATAAAGAACAAGAAAAGGAGCAGAATCCTCACAGAAGAAACTGCACAGGAGACTGAAATAAGAACAGTGGCTGGGATAGAAAGAATTTCCCATGATTTCATTAAGTGTCACCAAACGGTTCCCTTTCTGGGCATCTTAGAAAGAGGGCAACAGGACACAATGCATTTTATTCTTATGCCCCCAGTATTCCAGAAATCCAAGCATTACACAAACCTTAATCAACTAATAGAAACTTTAAACACATAAAGACATTTGGAGGTTTATTTGTTAGTGACTTCGTCATTCAAAAAGAGCGGATGCCAAATGAGATATCTGTTCAAGCAACCTATTAAACTAGATTGGTTCTTTTGACTTAATTATCATTATTGGTAACAAGTCTATGAAAGGGATTGTTTTCACATTTAAAAACACTGGTTCCCCCTCTCTCCACCCCATAACAATCATCTGTTGAAAGATGCTAACATTTCTTCATTTTTCACATGCCTGAGGCCTTGAGTGATGTCCTTGTCAGCGGCTGGGTTTCAGACTAAGAACGGTGAGAACTGCATTCCAGGAAGTCATGGCACGTGACCACCTATGTTAAGCTCAAAACAGAAAATGGGATTTGGAGTGAGATGGCAGAACTTGGGCCGGTTATCAACCTGAAAAAGTCAATGAGGAGCTAATGCTGAGATTTAGAGACCTCTGTCCTTGAAGAGTCATTCTATTTAGAGAAAAAAAGTAACTGCTTAATACTTACTTAATGTATATTCATTAACATTTTCCTGCTAATTCTCTAAGACCCAACGGAAATTAAAATCTTTTAAAAATTACTTATTTTTAGCGTTTTTAAATGTTGGATTCTCTCCCTCTAGTCCTTCCCCTCCCTACCCATGAAGAAGGCAAGCAACATATCATTAAATTGAAAACTTCAGAAAAGTTTCTAATTTAAAAAAAAATCACCCTACCTCCTGGGAAATACTTAATTCTACCAAAAGCAGAAAATAATTTTTCATTATTAAAGGATCTTGCCTTGGATCCATGTAAGTATGTAATGTTTGCCATAAACTTGAGGCTTTTTTTGCCTAATTCTACTGTAAAATTTATAGTTGGAAGGGAAAGGCCTAGAGTTTTATCCTGTTTAAACTGTTCATCTATTCCAGGGCTTTGTAATCATTTTTTCTGTCAGGAGTCTTTGAAAATGTGATAGAGCCTCTACCTCTTTTCAGAGGTCTAAATGTGTATTTCTCACACATACACACACAATTTGTGAAAAAGTTAATGAAAATAATGTCGATTTTTCCTCACTCAAGTTCTTGAACCCACTGACCCAGACCAAGACGCTCTCTACAGATAAACCAAGGCTGAGAAATGTGACTGATTTGCCCAAGATCCTATATATAGGTCCTTATCGCTCACTAAGTGCAGGAGTTCCATTCTCCCTCACTGGGCCTCTTAGAACAGGGAAAGAAGATCCTCCTAACCACTGCTCCCCCAAGCCAGTTACTCCTACACTTCGTCTAAAGTGGAATTCCCGCCCGAGCCCAGCAGCACTCTGATTGGTCCTGTATCATTTCAGTGTAAATTACTTTATCTGCCATGCCTGACAAAAGATGCAGAAAGCAGAAGGGCTGGGAAAGGGCCTGGGGTGATTATAACTCCGTGGGGAGGGACTCCAGTGAATGTCCAACCAGCTTCCCTATCATGTAGTAGGCCCACCTCGGTTTCTGGTACCTGTAGGCAAAGCTTCTGCCAATCCAAGCTTCACTCCTGACCACAAAGCTCTGAAGAATGTTCTGTGGTCTCTCCCAGACCTCCTAATTAATCCTTCAATCTGCCAAAATATTCTTCCTAAGGTATGGGGCTGTCACTCCCCACACCTAAGCTTAAGAACTTGACGACTCTACATAAAGAATCCCACCCAACCTGGATAACAGCTATCGTCCAGGATTGCCACCCATATCCGACCCATGTTCAGGCCATCTCTCCATCCCCCCAAGCCTGAGATGTGTTCTCTCTTCTCTGGCCTCAGAATCCCTCTCTCTTAGCACCTCAGTACCACCTTCTTTGTGCAGTCTCGTACCCCCCTTCACTCCCTATTCTATCAGTCGCCTGAGAAGATGTATTTATTGAGTGGAATGTAAACTCCTTAGGGGCAGGCAAGTACAGTTTGGCTTTAGGCCCTCAGCACACCTGGCAGCCCTTTCTACAGTAGGCCCTTCATAAGGGTGTGGGATGGAACTGATCCTCACCCATCTCTCCCAGTGACTCATCTGTTTGTGGTCCGGGCCCCTTCCCCTGTCGGCCAAAGGCCTTAGGCAAAAGGGGCCTTTTCTACTCCACGGTGGTGGTCCCCACCTTCTTCCACACGACATCACTGAGGGCGAAGGTTTCCCTAGCGGACCGAGCAGCTGTGGGGAGAGGTGCACTCTGCAACACTCAGTTCTATAAACTTTTAAGAACTATACATGCCAGCTACGCTTCTGAGCAGCTTTACCATCAAAACCCAAGCCGCCAACATCTGTCTGTCCTAGGCACCACCACCACCCACATCGTTCGAGGGCCAAAGTTTATGCTTCCATCAGTAAGCGCGTCATGAACACACAAAAACACGTTTCTGCATTTTTCTTCCAATAGCAAAGATTTTATCTTAAACACCACTCCCCGTAAAGACGCGTCCAATGACAGAATGGCTCGGCTCCACTAAGCGCTTCCAGCCAGCGGATACAAGTTATCATCGCTCCGCAACAATGTAGCGCCCGGAGGCCTCCGCGGGCGATCCCGGCCCGACTCTCGCAGTCCCCTCGTCGGTCTGCAAGACACAAAAGCGGCCGGTTCGGGAGCTTTCGAGCAGCGCAGTCACCGGGGCCCCGCCACAAACCGCCCGGCCTCCAGAAGCGCTTCGTTCTGGGGGGTCCCGGGAAACCCTGGGGAGCAGAGCGGGCTTCTGCGCCCCGAGCCACGCACCGGGTCCGCGAGTCCTCCGCACCACGACCGCGGCTCCCTTAGCCCACTCCCGGGCCCAGCCCCAGCTGCGGGCGGTGTAGGCCAGGGGTGAGCGAGAGCAGCTGCCGGAGAAGGCGCCCCGGCCCCGGCCCCTCCTCGGGGACCCCCCCGCAGACACACGCCCCGCGCCGCGCGCCCCACCCCCTCCCCCGGCATGCCCCCCCGCCGCGCCCCCAGCCTTACCACGGCAGCAGGTAGACGAACACGAATAGCGCCAGGTCGAAGAGCAGGAAGAGCCACAGGTCGAACCAGTACGAGTGCTTGGTGAGCTCGTGCTGCGGGCACCGGGGCTCCCGCTTCTCCTCCTCCTCCTTCTCGGGGCCGCCGCCGCCTCCGGCCCGCACGCGGGGCCCGGGTCCTTCAGAGTCTCCCGAGCCCCAGCCGCGACGAGGCTCCGCCGCCGCCATCCTCGCCCTTCCGCACTGCTCCCTACGGACTGCGCAGGCGCGCCAGACTGCACAGGCGCAGTGGGGGGCTCTAGCGTGCGTACGTGACGGGGCCCCGCCCTCCCGTCTTTCCCCGCCTCTGGGGCCCGCCCCGTCCCTATGGAGAGAGCAGGGCGAGCTCCAGGTGCTGCTGATAAGAATCCAGGGTTCAGGATTGTCAGACACTAGAGTCCTGTCTTGGGGCGGAGGAGAAAAGAGAGGGAGACAGAGGAGAAAGGAGAGGGGGAGGAAGAGAGAGGAAAAAAAGAGGGGAGAGAGAGAAAGAAGAGAAAAGGAGAGAGGAAGTGAAAGAGGAAAGAAAGGGAGAAAGAGAAAAGAGGAAAAGAGGGAAGAGAGGAGAAAGGAGAGTGAAAGAAGAGAAATAAAGGAAGATAGAGGAGGAGAAAGTGAGAGAGAGAAAAGAGGAGAGAAAAGGAGAGAGGGAGTGAAAGAGAGAGGAAAGAAATGGAGAAAGAGAAAGAGAAAAGAGGAGGAAGAGAGGAAAGGAAGAAAGAGAGAGAGAGAGAGAGGAGAAGGAGGAGAAGAGGAGAAAGAGGGAAGAGACAAAAAGAGAGAGGGAGTGAAAGAGGAAAGAAATGGAGAAAGAAAAGAAAAAGAGGAGAGAAGAGAGAGGGAAAAGAGGAAAGAAAGGAGAGAGGAAGTGAGAGAGAAAGGAAAGAAAGGGAGGAAGGTAGAGGAGAAAAAGAGGGAGGAGAGAGAAAAGGAGAGAAAAAAGAGAGAGGGAGTGAAACAGGAAAGAAATGGAGAAAGATGAAAGAAAAAAGAGAAGAGAGAAGAGTGAGAGAAAAGGAGAGAGGAAGTGAAAGATAGGAAAGAAAGGGAGAAAGAGAAAGAAAAAGAGAGGGAAAGGGAGAAGAGAGAGAAGAGGAGAGAAAGGAGAAAGAAAAAGAGAGGGAGTGAAAGGGGAAAGAAAGGGAGGAAGATAGAGTAGAAAAAAGAAAATGGAGAGGTAGAGAAAGGAAACAGGTAAGAAAGAGGGGATAAAAGAGAAAAGAAAGAAAGAGAGGGGAGAGAGGAAAAAGAGAGGGAGAGAAGAAGAAAGAAAAGGAGAGAGGAGAGGAAAAGAGAGAGAAAATGGAGTGTAATGAAGCTGTCCCCAGGCCCTTTCCCAGGAACCCTGAAGCAACAGCCTCATTCAGCACAACAGACCCCAGTTTCTTGCACTCCCACATATGCAATCATAGCAAACAGACTGCTAGCCACTCCATTCCCTGGGCTGGTTGAACCTGTACATAAAAGCTGCTACATGACTGAGTGGATAGAGTGCTAGGCCTGGAGTTGGGAGACCTGAGACGCTTGTTAGCTGTGTAACCCAGGGCAAGTCACTTTACCTTATCCTGCCTCAGTTTCCTCATCTGTAAAATAGGAATGAAATGCCTTCCTCCCAAATGAGACTCATTAGATTGTAAGCTCCCTGAGGGCAGGGACTGTCTTTTCCCTCTTTGTATCCCCAGTGCTTAGCACAGTGCCTGCACATGTAGCCCTTAATAAATGCTTGCTTCCCTCCTTCTTTAGTTTCTTGAGAGCTGTTGGCCAGAGAATCTCTCCACGACTGAGGCAGAGGGTAGAACAGAAAGAACCCAAGCTCTGGAGTCAGAATGTGGGTTCTTTTTCCCACCTTTTGTGCTTGTCATCTTATGACTTTGGGCAAACCACTCACCCATCCTGGTCCCATCTTTAGAACAAGGGGGTTGGACTTAAGGGCTTTCTGGCTCTGGATCTGTTTCACACAGTAAGTGCTAAGACATAAGATCTCACCTTACTCCTCTTCCTGTACACTGTTGTTTGTGAAGGTTTTGTTTAGTTGTTTGAGTTGTGTCCAACTCTCCATGATCCCACTTTGGGGTTTTCTTGGCAAAGATACTGGAGTGGTTTGCCATTGCCTTCTCCTGCTCATTTTACAGATGAGCAAACTGAGGCAGCAGGGATAAGTGACTTGCCCAGGGTCACTCAACTAGTAAGTCTTTGAGGCCAGATTTGAACTCGGGTCTTATGACTCCAGGCCCACGATTCTGCCCGCTACACCACCCAGCTGCTCTTTCCTGTGTACTACCTTCCAGTTAAACTGAGTCACTCTCCATGCTGTCCCACTGACCTGCCAAACCCAGCTCAGTCACCACCTCCTCCATGCAGCCTTCTTTAGGCTGCTGTCAGAGTCTGGTATCTCGCCCTCTTTATACTCACCTCAATCCCCCATCAATCCTACATGTGTACGTATCTGCCTCTTCTCCCCGTTAGATGACCAGCTTTTGGAGAACATAGTAGATGTTATCTATCTTCATATTCCTAACACCCAGCACAATGTTTCGTACCCACTGACTATTTAAAAATATTGATTGATTTCAACTGAATGAGCCTACATCCTATAACCAAGCCCTACTCACGTGCCTTACCAATAGTGCTTAAGTCTGGATCTGTGGAGAAACAGAGGCATTTGTTTACTCTCCCTACCCCTTTCCTCTCCATGACTACTGGAGAATTTGAGCGTTGGAAGGGATCCCAGTGACCTTCAGAAGATTGGGGGGAAATGGGATTAAAAAGCCTGAGAAGGATGGATAGAGAGTGTTAAGTAGATAGCTGAGGCCCCTGAAACAAAGGGCTGTTAGTGGACTGGGGTGGATTGCAAGGAGTGAACACAAAGGGGAGAGATCTCTGAATGCGAAACAGAAATACTTGTGGAGCTGGTTCTGATTAGCCAGGGCTGATCAGAAAGGAGTTAGCAAGCGCTGGAAGTGTCCTCTGGTGTTACTGACTGTTGAGCCCTGAATCAGCCTGGCTTCGTCAAAGCACAGCCTGCCAGACTGACTTCTGGCCCCTTCCAGACAAGAATATCAGCCTGCTAGATCAGAGGAATGTTTGAATTAAGTATAGCATGCCGAGATGTCAGCAAAGTGTCAAACCAAGTGTCTCTTACTCTTTCATAAATGAGATGGGGAGATCATTAGGCTGTGTGAGAGTTCCTTTAAGTAGATTCAGAACGGGCTGAATTCTGAACCCAAAAGGGAGTCTTCAGTTCCAGTCTGGAAGAAGGAGAGTGCCCCAGAGATCTGCCCCAGGTCCTGAGCACTTCAATCGATCAAGCAAAAACCCCCCAAATGAAGAATCCAACCCAGAACATTTATTTGGCACCTACTGTGTGCCAAATGCTAGGTATACAAAAGAGAAAATGAAACATTCCCTGCCCTCAGGGAGCTTACAACCTACATTTTAATCAATGTTCACATTGATAAAATGCTATGAGCAATAGGAAGGAGCTTGTGAGGGGGCATATTTCAATTCAGGGTAACGAAAACTTTCCAACTATTAGAGTGCTGCTGAAGTTAGATGTATGCCTTAGGAGGGAGTGAGCTGCCCCTCGCCTGAAGCACTCACTGCAAGGACTTCTTGTCAGATTCAGATTCAGATTCATGTCGGACCGGATGGTTTCTGAAGGGCCCTGCCAGCTCTGGGATCTACAAGTCTTACTTTTGGTAATGTTAGGGAAATAGAGAGGATCTTTAGGAATCATCTTGCTCAACACACTACTGTTACCGAAGAGGAAGCTGAGGCTCAGAGAAGGTTTCGTTATTTAGTCTGACTCTCAGTGACCCCATTTGGGCTTTTCTTGGCAGAGATACCAGAGTGGTTTGCCGTTTCCTTCTCTAGCTCATTTTACAGATGAGAAAACTGAGGCAAACAGGGTTTAGTGACTTTTCCAGGGTCACACAGGTAGTAAAAATGTCTGAGGCCAGATTCGAACTCAGAAAAATGAGTCTTTCTGAATTCAGGCCAAGCGCTCTATGCACGATGGCGCCCCCAGCTGCCCTGACAACAGGAAGGCAGAAGAAAGGAGGAGGCACCTGATTTTGAAAGGAAGAGGAAGAAAACATAGGAAAAGGTGACAATGGAGAGAACTGAGGATTGGGAATAGGCTCCTGAACAGCTAGGTTCCCAGAGTAAGGCCCAGGAGGTGGAAACACAAACAGCAGACATTTATGTACACCCCTTGAAAGTCTGCAAAGCATTTAACCTGCAGGATTCCATCTGAGGCTTGCCACACCTTGGTGACATGTTTCCTACAGGCCTTTGAGTCCCCATCTCACACATCAGGGCAGACTGAGACAGGGAGGGGACATTATTTGCCCACGGTCCTATTACTAGGAAGTGGGCAGAAACAGAATGTGAGCCCAGGTCGTCTCACTTCTGCTCATTTGCATCAAATGAGATTATATTTGTAAAGCCAGTGAAGAGGCAAGGAGCTGGGAAACTGGACTTTTGCATTGAAGAAAGAGTGAGATGCCCAATAGCTGGTGCTTAATAAATGCTTATTGTCCCTCCCCCAACACACACCACATGTTATTCTATAATTGCTGGCGATTTGAGACACTCTAAGAGCCACTCACTGCCAGGTACTGGAAGGAAGGCAGTTGACACAGATCCTGCCTCTGTGGTGGATTCTGAGGTCTCCACACCCCACTCCCTCCCCTCCATTCATGTCCTGTTTGAGAAAAGTGGGAGAATAAATGGTGACCAACCAGAGAGGCGCACCACCGGGACGAGGGAAGTGGTGACTGGTGAAGATAGGAGAAGGAAAGGAAGGGAAGTCTGGAAAGAAGAGTCAAAGCTGGGGAGAAGGAAAACACCCAGTAACTTTGTCCTCATACTTCACAGGCCGATGGCCTACCAAGACCAGACAACACTTGGTGCCCATCCTCTTCTTGATTGAGGCAGGGTTTCCCTGACCACTCCTGCCCCAGTGTCATACACCGAAGCCCTTCCGTGTGGAGCTGGGAGCTGACAGTAGCTCCCATGGGGGCCACGTCATTGCTACTGAAGACCCAAGAAAGAAGATTCTCCTCCCCCAAATCCTTGGCACTGGCAAGTGGTCACCATCTGAAAAATAGAGAAGTGTGTCAGTGGAACTGACTTTAAAGAAGAAACATTATTATATTGTTTATACTCCTACCCCAAGACCATGGGGCCTTTCTATCAGCTGAAACTTTCTAAGTGTATTGCCTGTCTCTAT